TGCGGATCAACCCAACTGGGCAAGGTGAGAGTATGGATTAAGCAGACTGGGCAGGATGAGAGTGAGGGTAACCCAACTGGGCAGGATGAGAGTGCGTGGTTCACTGGATAGGTTAATGGTGAGGTAAGTTGATGAGGTAAGGACGTAGGTCGTCATCGGCGCTCGGGTTTTACGATGCACTCAGCAGCTGAAGTTACATGGTGTCGCCTGCCGCTCACCCTGGCAGAAAGAACTGGCACCGGGGAATCGAACCCCGTACCTCTGGGTTCCCAGATGCGCAGCTGAACCACGGCACTGCGGCCATCTTGTTTAGGTGGAAATTAGATGAGGCCGTGTCGATCACTGGATACCACGTCATTCACCCCGCTGCAAATAAAGACAGAACGCGTGGCTCTGAACAGATATGAAATGAAGGTCGCTGAGGCAAATGAAACGCGTATGCCACTTCAACTGAAAAAGTGCGTGTCGCTGAGTAAGAGACCATTTAGATTTCGATGGCCAGAGCAAGACGGTGCAGGCCACTGACCGGAGAGTGAGAGTGAACGTCACTAGGCTAGGTGTCAACTGAGAACGCGAGTCACCAGACCGGGTGTCAACTGATAACGCGAGTCACCAGACCGGGTGTCAACTGAGAACGCGAGTCACCAGACCGGGTGTCAACTGAGAACGCGAGTCACCAGACCGGGTGTCAACTGAGAACGCGAGTCACCAGACCGGGTGTCAAGTGAGAACGCTCAGATCGCTGCCCAGAAACAGCCCCTGATTCTGAGCCCCTGATCTTCCCAGGGAGGATCCGATGTGGACTCTAGTGGTGCTCCTTCCCCCTCTCCTCCCCCCTGATGGCTCGTCCACGACGCCCCTGTGGTATTCGTTCGCCCGATGCAGCAGCTCCGTGACCGGGGACCGGAGCTGTTTTATTCAGCTGGGAGCCCAGCCCCTTCCCCTCCTCCGACTTCGTGAAGAAAGGGGCCAAAGTCGGGGGAAACCCGTTTGTTGACGTAGTTTGGAGGCATGCTTTATCGATATTTAATGTTTGCCCCCTCTCCCCAACTCATTTTGCGAAGCAGCACCCACCCCTGCTCATGGTGCTGGCCCGCGGTGGGCAGCCTGCTGTTGAGGAAGGTAGATCCCATGCGTCGAGGTGGACAAAGGTCAGTATCACGAGGGCCACGAATTTCTGGACAACGCATCACCGATAAGGTAACATGAGGCAGGCCTTCGTCCTCACTGACTCCGCGGCGCTTACAACGACTCAACGTCGAGTCAGTGTGAGCACTGGACGTGGTGAGAAGGTCCTCGGGAGGAGGTAGAGTTGGTGACCCGGGCTGTGAGAAACCGGTTCCAGAGGTGAGCCGCGTGTTATGCTTGGCTGAGCTTCATGTGGTGTCATCATATGGTCGTCCGCGACAGACACTGAATGATGCGGTCGCATTGCAGGCTACCTGGAGTACATGACCGACGCCATACTGAGCGCGGTTAACTTGGAGACCGCCAAAGGGCACAAGCTGAAGCTGCTGAAGGTCATCACATCGCCGTTTACGTCCCTCGTCATTCGCGTATGTCATCATCGTCATCATCGTCATCATCGTCGCACAATGCTCTGGGCGTGGACAGCGTTGGCCGCTTGCGCTTAGGCAGCTGTTGGTAATTTGCATTTCCTTGTGCGGTGGCTTACATTAACTTTATCGAACGTTTGATTTTTTCGTATTTTAATTACATTTGTGTGTGCTTTTGCAGCATGAACTGTAACGCTTGAACTCTGGGATTCTGTTGACGGGAGTGTGTTTTACGCTTCGCAAACGCCTTGATGGCAGATGTCATCTGATTGATGCTTATATCTGCGATTATTTTCTGCGTGTATGTCTCCTACGTATGCCGTTTCGGCCATGCTCCTTTTGCACGCAGCTTCGAGTCGTTCGCGTGAGATCGTGTATATGGCTTTTGAATTTGAACTTGCAGCACCATGTGCTCTGGCCGCACAGTTGAAATTACGCCGACCACCGCACAGTCATGAGCATCGCGGGAACTGGGAAGCAAATAAAGCGGTTGTTAGGCCATAGAAGCATCCAGCCTAGAGCGGCCCTTGGCACCCCTAGGCCTTAGGGGCGCTCAGCTCAGAGAGGCTCTAGGCGCCCCTAGGCCATACCAGTGCCCAGCCACACCCAGCATGTGGTGACGTTGCGGCAATGTTTTCAGACGGACAAGAAGGTGCTCAGTGGATGGGCTCTCAACAAGTCCGAGTATTTCAACGCCTCACTCATCAAGCACTATTGCAAGTACGAAAAAGTTGTCCTGCAAATCTCCGAGAACGTGACGGAAACGCAAAAAGTGCCGCTGGAAAGATGTGAGTTTTCTGGGCCGTTTGAGCCGTCCTCATCTTTTCACGTGCGTATTAATTTTTGTCGTTTTTCCCCGCGCTTAGTCGATTCCCTTACGATCTCCTGACAGGGAGATTGAGATATAGTCTCCTCCTTTCCCGCGTTTCGAGCAAATCACGTTTTAATCGCTTTCATTTCACCCCGCTGATTTTAGGCCTTGCGACTTTTCGAACCACGAGAAAATTTCACCGCACCTGCGTAACACCCCACGAAACAGAAAATCATATAAAACACGCCCCTCCTCACGTGTCTTCGCATTCTGCGGTTAGTCACTCAGAACAGACCTGATCAGCCCGCCGCGGCTAGCCGCACTGACCTGACCTGACCGGTCTCTGCGCAGGTCACTCGCTGTTCAGCCAGACTGACCTGCCGGACCTATACGTCGGCCTGATCTTGCTGGTGATCGCTCTCGTCATGCTCTGTGGCTGTCTCGTGCTCATGGTCAAGATTCTGCACACGCTCCTCCAAGGTATATATGGCGTGTCGCTGTTCCTGATGCAGACCTGATGACCTAATGCAGGTCTGATGACCTAATGCTGACATAATGCCCCGATGGCCTGATGCAGACTTGATGACCGGATGCAGATCTGATGACTTGGTGCAGACATGATGATCTGATGGCGTGATGGCCTGATGCCGACCTAATGCCCTGATACAGGCCTGATGACCTGATACAGACATAATGACACGATGACCTGATGCAGACTTGATGACCGGATGCAGATCTGATGACCTGATGATGAATCATACGAGTATCAGTATCCCATCATGATATTGGGGATAAGCATCCCGTTATTTTTATCCTGTCAATAGCATTCATTAATGGTAAATAGCATGATCATCCCACTGATGACCAATACTGATTCCGCCACGACAACCGGCGTAAGCAGTTACAAGGCTGCTAAATGACCATAGAAGTTGCAGGGTTCTTTGAGCGATTTGACTTCTTTTGATCGGATGTTGCTCGCACCGTTAATGAAAAGTGGTGTTTATGTTAGATGCAGCCGTTTTAGAGCTGAGGAGGCATTGTTTCACCTCGAGTCGTTGGCTGCTGAACAACATCGATTGGACAGTAGTAATAGCCATGTTCTTCGGAGAAAAAGCAGGAATATATATATATATATATAATATATATATATATAAATTTATGTATATAAACCAGTATAATGTATATATATATATATATATATATATATATGTATATGTGCATGCTGTTTTTTTCTCCGAGGAATAAGGCCATTACCACTGTTTGAATAATATTCCTCGCTCCTCGCAAATGCACTGAATAACTCACGTAGGCTGCTGAACAAACAACGATTAATCCCTCGGCTGCATCGCGTTGAAAGCTCGTTGCTGTCCACATGAATGCTTCCAGCATCGTCTGAAAGAAGAACAACACCGCCCTCACCACTGACCGTGCTCATGCGCTGCGTTTCAGGCAGCATCGCGGTAGTCATTCGCAAGACGCTCAACGCCAACATCCCCTACATGCCGTGGCTGACGGGCTACCTGGCCATCCTCGTCGGCTGCGGCATGACCATCCTGGTGCAGTCGTCCTCGGTGTTCACGTCGGCGCTGACACCGCTGGTGGGCGTTGGCGTCATCTCGCTGGATAGGATGTACCCGCTCACCTTGGGCTCCAACATCGGCACCACGACGACGGCCATTCTGGCTGCGCTGGCCGCCTCTGGGAAGACTCTGCGCCCCAGCATTCAGATCGCTCTGGTTCACTTCTTCTTCAACGTGTCGGCCATCTTAATCTTCTACGTGCCGCCATTCATGCGCTGGCCGATCCCTCTTGCGCGCGGTCTGGGCAACATCACCGCCGACTACCGTTGGTTCGCCGTCGCCTACCTGATCGGCATGTTTCTGCTGTTGCCGCTGCTGGTCTTTGGTCTGTCGGTGGCTGGTTCCACCGTGCTGTACGTGGTGCTGGCGCTGGCGCTGCTGCTGGCGCTGCTCGGCGGCGCGCTGACGCTGCTGCAGCGTCGCATGCCGTGCCTCCTACCGGCGGCGCTCCGCAGCTGGAGCTTCCTGCCGGAGCCGCTGCGCAGTTTGGCGCCCTACGACCGGCTGGTGACGGCGGCGTTAGCGCACTGCCGCTGCTGCGGCCGCCGCCGCGGACAGGAGGCCGCGCCGCCGGCGGCCGCCGACCGCGAGAAGGCGGCGATCCAGTTCAACGGCCGCGGCGGCTTCGACAACCACGCCCTGGAGATGGACGTGCGGCCGATGAGCTACAGCAAGAGAAGCGTCGACTGACGCCGAGGAGCACCCGCGACCGGCGCGGCGCGCGTCGGCAGCTCATCGCGCCGATGTGAGACGACGCAGCCCAGCTGGGTGGAGGTGGAAGGCTCGTCTCGCGGGAGGAGAGGGATCAGGTGCCGGCGACGGTCTGCCGGAGGCGATATTCTCAGGAACGGGTTCCAGTGCCGAGGGAAGCGGTCTGTGCTGGTACAGATGACGTTGGTGGCGTTCTCTTGTAGCTATTGACGTGTAGGCCGATTGCTGAAAGGGTCTTCACTTTGTGTCGGCTGTGCGTGCCTTTGTACGGTCGTCTTTGTATTTGCTTGCGGGCTGGCTTCTAAGTCCAGTCATGGGCGTCTCAAAAACGCGTGTGCTTATTGTGAGAGCGGCCTTTGTGGTGCCGGGCTTCAGTTTTTACAGACATGGTATTCGCGAGCGTTCTAAACCATGATATTTTTATTCCGGACCCTCGGAAGACTCGCTATTTCACATCTGGCCCTCTTCGAACGGAATAATTGGGGAACTTTGGGCTGCTCTAAACGTTGCGGAGCAAATGCAGCTGTGCCTGGATGTACTTGGGGGATTTGGAGATGATGTGGGGTCCCCAAACCCGTTCGGCATACGCATGGCTTGCCGTGAAGAGATGACCCGTCGGAGGCTGGATGGAGATGCCAAGACCTAGGCCAAGATTAGCCAAGACCTAGGCGTGCATCGTGTTCTCACTTACACAACATGACTCGGAGGGCCACCACGACCCCGCGGGCGATTGTTAGCCCCGAGGGCATATTCCGTCCAAGAGGTCCGAAGGGCAACACGTTCTGAGCTAGTTCCAAGACAAGGTGGGGAACAGCGGGCCTTTGCACTAGCTATGACATTCCTGTGGCTTGTTGAAATGGCAAATAGCGCTGTCCGGTCGTTTTTAGCAATCGTTGGCTATTCTTTCAGTGATCTTGTGGGCCACATGATTTTTCGTGCTCTGATCATGAAGTCACTTTGTCAAAAGGGAAGCGGGAATGAAATAAGAAAACTGGTGAGATGTTGCTTAAACTACAAAGTCCACTTCCGACTTTTGTAGTGATGAGCTGCTAAGCTGTTTGCCATGAAGACAGCGCCCAAACTGCCCTGCACCGTTTCATTAGGTTATTCGCTGCACGCGTTTTTTTGGTGTATTTAAAGTCTCGCTAATGTCAGGAGCTGCAAACCGGAGACAAGTTTCGCCTGTCCGACGACCTCCTGTCTGTGCTGTCTCTGCATGTTTATATTCTGCAAGCTTCCTATCACGTGGCTTTAGCAACACATGCACTCATCAACACTTTGTTTTAAGGCACCCCACCGCTTCGCACTGGCCGGCCTCGGCCGGTCGGCTATACCGGCGGTTTGGGTTCGGCTGGTTATTTTCCTGGTCCGACTTTGCAGCGCACATTGCTCGACGACATGTTGTGCCTTTGTCTTCGGCATAGATTCGGCAGCTGGCTTGGTGAGGCTAGGATGCCTTCGCGGACCATACTGACAACAGTGCTGCAAGGTGTTTTGTGATACATGTGCGCATAAAAATGTGCAAACCTGAAAAAGACGCACCAAAAGCGTATCGTCTTGATCCAACGCTAAGTCGTTCGCTGTCATCGTAACGACAGATGATGCGATCAAGATTTCCGTGCTCTATTCCGTGATGCTGTAACCGGCGGCTTTTTGAGCCGCGTCGAATCAGTGAATACATTTGATAGCAACGACAAAGTCTTTTGTGTCGCGAAAGAGATAAATGATATTTCAGTTTACTTGTGCCCGCTATTCTTTCTACCAGACAAACGTTCAAAACCCTTGAAAACGTTTGTCTGACGGCTGGATAAAAACTCTGTCCACAGTAGCGAATAAGTTATTTTTACTTCGCTTCTGTGGAGACCGGCATCTCGGCACACATGCCAATCACTTCCGGTTGGGGGGCATACATAAATTAGCGCCAAATGGCCGCTGCAGTCGGCGCGCCCGAAAACACCAATCAACATCAACGAATACATAAATTACGTAGCTGGCGGGAAAGAAAAACAGTAGTGCGTCAGAATTTACTCTGCGCTCATTGCTGATGCGCATGAAGTACCTGAACCTGAAAGCTGCAGGAACCTGAGAGTGTGGTACTGGAAAAATAAGCTTTGTGTAATGGTCCTCGGGGATTCTTTCCTTTGCCCAGTCCATCCGCTACCCACGGGCCTTGCCGGGCAACCATTTCAATCACTTGTACCCACGCAGCACCCCATTCATTTGCAAAGGAAGAGTTTCAGAAAATCATGTTTTAAAAGTTATTATTTTGCGTCGACAAGTGCAAAAAACAACGTGAATGGAGCTTTTTTGCTGATAGAAGCGCAAGCAGTAACATTGGGTGACATTTCAATGACTGTATATACACATTTCGTAAATGTTTTACCCATGCCCACGCCCGTATCCGAGATTTTCCAGTCGTTAGTGCCAAATCCAACTTGCTACCCTACCCATGTGTTTGAGCACCTATATCTGAAATGAATACCCTGACTCATGAGTTCCTCCAGTCATGTGCTTTTTGAACGGCTACTTTATCGGAATTGAATCTCTCTTTGTGTTGTAATTTCAATGAGCTGATTTCGAAGAAATAGCGACGAGGGGCAATGCCTCTTTAAACGCATTCTTTGCCAAGCGATTTTTTCAAGCACGATGTGAGAGAACCGAAAGATCTCGCGAATCTGACATCTGTAATGATGTGATGAATGAGAGGCTTCCGAAACGAACCGAACTGTTCCATCGATTAATGCTGGATGTTCAGTATAGCCCGCGTCCAATACATGTTTCTGAGGGATGCGTTTTTTATTGCGGTAGTTTAGACACGTCGCAAATGGCCCGTGCAAAATCACTACAAGTTGTTGGCAAGGTGAAAAGAAAGAATTCCAATAGCCCTTCAGAAACAATGCTTCTGACTCGTGATCTAGGTGGCTAGATGCCAAGAATATCTTGTTTCACATATGACTCATTCTGCTTTCACACACATGCTCCCGAAAAACGTCACCTGCATTCTTCCCGCGTGAAAAACCAGGAACGTCAAGCCCCAGACACGCAGACTACACCAAGCATGACGAAAAACAAATGTCTCGACCAGGCTGGTCACAACCGTTGGTCGACAAAGTTTCGACCACAGCGCAACAGAGTTCAACTATCCCATCTATCTATCTATCTATCCCATACCCCAGGGGGTCAGCTCCAATCTGTCCCATACCCCAGGGGGTCAGCTCCAATCTATCCCATACCCCAGGGGGTCAACTCGCTCACCCATGCTCCTCCCAGTGACCCATCTCCCAGTCATCGGTCTGGCAGGGAACACCACAGTACGCTTTCGGATGTGCTTTGCCATCGCCGACGCACAAGGAACACAGCTTGTACGCGCGCGCGACCCTCTCGCGGATATCGCAAAAACTGCAGCTTCTCAGAGTCACCGCTTGGGACGCTGATATCGTCTCGGAGAGCGCGGGGCTGCGCTGCGCCGCTCCATGCGGCGTCGGTGTTGTTTCGGAGACCGTAGCGCTCGGTTGCATCTCCGTCCGGGGCCCTGGCGTAGTTCCAGAGACTGCAGCACTGTGTTGCGCCACGGCCTGAGCCGCTGGTGTGGGCTCGGAGACCGCGGTACTCGGTTGTGCCCTTTCTCCAAACCCGCGTATCACCAACAGGATAGCATTTGCCAGTTGCCTGACCTTTGCTGGAACAGATGTTGCCAGGGTAAAGTGCTAGTTGTAGGAAAACAGCAAATGCCAGTCCGGGCGCACTTAATCTTGTCATGAGCTATGTAACATTATTTCATTATTAGTTTATTTTGGGGCACGCAGTGGGTTGCGCGTTGGCGGACTATTACCTACATGGATGCATGCCTTTTAAACACGGCAGGTGAGGGTACATTTGCAAACAAGGCTCTTTGTAGAAAGCTTCGAGTTTCAATGTGCTTTCTTTGTGCTATGTCAGAAATGCGTTCTTAATTCAATCAGGACAAATCTGGCAGCTTCTGCGACTTTAAACCGGTCGAATATCTTACAACTTGAAGATAGAATGTCTCGGAAAATAGCACTGATTTGATCCATAAACTCCAAATGTGGGAGTGAAGGTCACAAGGGTTCCATGCAACATGCTGGTAAAGGTCGTCGCCTAGGCAATACGCATGCGAGAAGTCTTGGAAAGCGCGACAAAAGAGCTGTCGCGAAAGTTAAAAAAACTTATATGTCAATTTTTCCGGCACCATGTAGTGTTCGAAGCATTTCAGCAAAGACCAACTGGTCTAGTCACGTCGTAGCCTTCAGGCATAGCTTGACAGATAAGTAGAAAGCTAATCTATTTTGGGTACACCACTTCACTTCTATATTTTCCCTGCAACAAAAGCATAGCGTGAGTCCACAATTCTGTGGAAAATGGCTCAAATGATTGCTGTCACATAATGAATTTCCATACGATTGCACTATTTCTTACTTCTACAATATTAAGAGAAGCGTAAAGTTTGATAACAGCGGCTGGTAGGTACCATTTTTCATGATGGCCATGGTCACGAAAGCTCATTCCCGAAATTACTCAAAACATTGGGGCCAATGATGCTCGAATTCCGTTGAATCTCGTTTTCTTGGAATAAGTAGTTTTGGTCGCACACGGCTTCCTCCGGTCAAAGAGGCATGCTTAATTTAAAAGGACTCCTGGAATTGCTCAGCTTACTGAAGGCTCCTGCCAAAGATGTTCCGACGTATTTCAACATGACAACCGCATTTCGCGCAAAAGACTTTCGTGGAAACGGGCGGCCAAGAGCAAATTGGTTGGTTGCGCATTCTTTCCATGATTTTGGTCAGCCAGAACCGAGTGAGCGCCACTTTAGCTCCTCCCTGCAACTCACGCGGGGACAAACATGCACGATGTAAAATATCCTAAACATGGATATTACCATAATCGGGAGCAGCAGCCTTCTGACGCACGAGAAAGGCCTCTTGGCCTAAAATTGGACCTCCTGGCGCAGAGGGAGTGTCTCCCAATTAAGAAGGGGGATCGCTTCAGAACACAGCCCTTACAATGCAGGAAGCGATCTTCTAAGCCTGATTTAGTACCCACCAATTTGGTTACGGACAATGTTGATCTTAATTTTTGGATAATATATGTGAAGGTATAAAAGATTCAGTCCCGACGCAATGCACCATCTTGAGGTTCGAATTAGCAAAAGCATACTTCCGTCCATTGCCTGTCGGAAGGCGAAGAAACTGCCTCCTCGGCCTCTCGCCTTGCCAGCGCTTCCGGTTAACATGGACATGGGTTCAGCTGCCACCTCTCACCGTAAAGCTGGCGTGCTGTGAGAGGTGGCAGCCTTCACTGGAGCCAGAGGCATCCACCACTGTGGAACGCATGCCATTTTTGGGGGAAGGGTTACAGTTCTCTGACCTGGGGTTCAGACCCCTTTCCAAACCTTTAGAAGGCGGGCTAGATGCAGAAAAAAGCTGTTTGGTGGTGTAGCCTGGGGTAGGGTGCGTCATTTTCTCCCACTGCCTGCCCGCTACCCACCAACCTCAACTTATTTTGCGAAGCTATGCATCTGTGTAGTTTTCTCTATATTGAGAGAACTGGAATTACTCCAGCGGTACATCCCTGAGACGTGAGGGTAGAGGTAATTTTCTGACACACTGTTCTTAGGGAACGCAAGTTCCTAGAGTTGCCAAGCCATGCAACAACGCAAAGGAGAAATATGCTACAAACGTTAGCATCATCATTAACCCGAAAACTACAATGCCTTAAGAAAAGTGTACGATGGTTGAACAGGGAATGACTAGGCGCATAACATCGAAAATCTTAAATTGTGGAAAGAACGTTGGTCAAAAGTTTCGTGATAAATTATGATAGGGCCAGAAGAAGACAAGCGTTTTTTTTCCATGAGACTACCTCGGCTTGGCGTTCAATAGTATTGAAGCTTAAGCTAAAAACGACGCTTACCGCTGGACTTCTTGACGAAAAAGAATCGCCCTTGTTGGCCTGGCATCAGTTCTAGCGCGGAGCCCGCGCGCAGCATCAGCGGAACCACTCTCGACTTCAGCTCCCCGTCCGGCATACTTTTCACCGCGCTCATCGCCCCCATCCAGTCGTCCTTTACGTCCAGGTCAGCCAGCGCGACAGATGTCATCGCCTCCTCCGTGATGAAACTGGCAATCGCTTCCGCCGTCGGGTCCGAGGGCTCCTGGCGGACGTCACGGAGATAGCGTCATGTGACGTTACGTATGTCACGCCATGTGACATTGCTGGTATGACGTCATGAGGCAGGGCGGCAAGTGAGGCGAACACGGCGCTGTAGCGGGCGGCCAAGCCGAAACGGTGTTCGCGGGGCAAGTGGCAATGTTCCAGACATTTTGGCATACCATACATTTATGTGGTGTCATTGCGTAGTCCCGCCTGATGCGCGACACAGAACAAAACACGGAACGAATGAATGGAAAAGCACACCAAATCTGTGTGTGCGTTTTTACTGATTCATCGTCTAAAGTGATGTTAACATCTCAGGAACGTGTTATTTTGCATCCGCTCCTTTACTCGGAAACCCTAGCTCAAAACGTCAGAATCCTGTATTTAACTGAACCGCCGGTAGCGTATAACTACTCCTAAAATGCACGATTCTTGTCTAAACACAGGCCGGGGCCTCCTTTTGTTACCACCGGTACACTTTTTATCACCGTTATTAAAAACGCGTCCGGCGGGGGGGGGGGAGTTAACTTTTCCCTTCAGTTTTTCGGGCACACACGAGGCTAAAAAACGGAAGCTTGCAGCGACACCAAATGTTGAGCACCTGTTCATCTATGAATTTCGCATCCTTTGTGCGAATGTAAAGCTGTGATCTACCAAGGTTAGTGGCCTAGATCAGGTCAAAGAGGTCAATTTCTAAAAAATTTGGTCACGCATACCTTTTTTGCGTTTGCTTTTACTGCTCAAGCATCCTTTAGTAATAGAACATGATAGTGCCTACAGCCCGTGCAGTTCAGATTTTTCCAAACAATCGTGATCAATGACCTGAGGTCAATTTTTGCTACTTTTTGTAAATCATGGAAATTTTCACATATTTTTGCGTAGTTTTGGTGTTTGCATACGAGGAAAAGAAGGCTTACTTACGTGCGCAACCATCAGATGACCACAAAGCGCATACTATTGACCTAGATCAAGACCTACTTCTATGGGTGTTTTTCTGCGAAACATATGCTGAGCTCAAAGTCTTTATTTGGTAATTTGGTGCGCAGAATTCGCACATTCCACTGAAAGTATGTTGTAATATAATTCTAGAGATAATGAGGTTACCATAGATCACGCAAGGATATGTAATGTCATATGAGGTCATCCAAGGTCAATCACCTCTGCTGGCAGTAGCGGAGAAGCTAGATAAACGAGTGCGACGTGTGTAACGACCTCTATATCGTGTTTATCAAGCTGATGACACATAATTTCATGAACCAGTGTACCTGTTCTCAGCCTGTTACCAATACATTGCCAAGCATCGAAGGGACTATGCATCATGCATACAAGAGCCATGTGATCTTGATTATCTGTACATGTAATACACTATTTCTGACCACAGAAAAGCACTGTACTGGTCACTTGGACCCAGTTAGTCCTCATGTTTTTGGCAATTGCGTGGCTAGTAAATTTTACCTAAGTTAGCTTCAGTTGACCTCTAGGTCAGCTTAAAATGCTTTTGTTTGTGGCTGAAATACTTTTTTCCCACAGCTGCCCCTAACGAGATAAACTTAATCGGACTCGCATCGTGAAGGAAAACAAAAAACATCACTCTTGTAGGCTACTGGTACACCAAGTTCGAACTTTGGCCCTTGGGGGGGGGGGGGGACGGTCAGACTGCAACTGCCGCAGTCTTAACGCTTACTTATGTGACCTCAAGATCCGAAGTGACGTATTAAAATATGTTTTAGCCGCATCCATCAGAATGGTCGTTGATCTGCTTTCATGACCTCTGGTCACCTCGGATTTAACCTGAGCTCAGATATGTACCATACATTTCTAATGATTTGACGAGAGCTTCACAACGGTATATTTTCTTCTCGTGCGACGTCTGGAAGTTTGAGATCCCAGCGGGAAGTCAACTTTCCCTCGGCCGGCCACGGTTGTCCCAGACCCCCAGCCGGGTACAGGTTAAAATATATACATATATATATATATATATATATATATATATATATATATATATATATATGCGTGGTGGATTTTGGGTTCAGTTCTGCTATTCAATATGAAACTTTGAGTCTCGAAATGGAGAATTCTGCTAGAGACAGAAATTAGCAATGAAGCAGAAAGAGAAGACAGTGAAACATCGCTTTTTACCCTTTATGATTCAGTGATATTTTGATCTGAAAGCACTTCAGTCGCTTATGTAGTTCTGACACCAGTCACGTTTGAGTACCATTTCCCATCAACGCATGGAATCACTTGCGAGACGGCTGATCCGTGTTGTTTAGAAATAGGCAGGGTCGAGGCCAGCGGACCCATAAGAGAGAGAAAGAGAGAGAGAGATAGAGAGAGAGAGAGAGGGAGGGAGAGAGAGAGAGGGAGAGAGAGAGGGAGAGAGAGAGGGAGAGAGGAGGAAGAGAGAGAGAGCGGGAGAGAGAGAGAGAGAGAGAGAGAGAGAGAGAGAGAGAGAGAGAGAGAGAGAGAGGGAGAGAGAGAGAGAGAGAGAGAGAGAGAGAGAGAGAGAGAGAGAGAGAGAGAGAGAGAGAGAGAGAGAGAGAGAGAGAGAGAGAGAGAGAGAGAGAGAGAGAGAAAGAGAGAAAGAGAGAGAGAGAGGGGGGGGCGAAGCTGGAGACAAATTGATGGGGAAGTTGGCATTCGCAAGCCTTTGAGGACAATCAAAGAAAGGGAGATACATGTCAAAAGCGGTGAATGTTATGAAATTTGGAAACTTGGTGCAGATTTGTGCAGTCATTTCGGCTTATTTTTATAACATGATAAATGGTCCTGGTGCAGTGCAACCACTTCAGCGGGTTTATAAAGTAATCAAGGGTAAAAAGCCAATATTTATTCACAAGTCTAGGTGTTCTGGAGAAAATAACAGGGCTAAGAACACTCTTACTCTTACATTATAATTAAATTACATCCAAACTAAATTGTCACGAGACTCGAGCTAAATCTAAAAAATAAAAATAAAAAAGCTAAATCGAGCCTTGACCTCACAGCGTCATCAATGTCATGTCCGTACATTATTTCTGATCTTTCATGTGACCGATCAGGATCATGATCATGTGGATCATGTGACCGATAATTCCACTCTTATTGGAGGAAAATCAGCAAATTCCGAAGACCAAAAATTCAGAAATCGGAGGATCCAATCGATCGATCGTTCGAAGGACCCGATCCATTGCAACGATCGGAAGATCCGATCGTTGTAATGGTATGTCTTACATTATTGGCAGCACAGATCTGTACCATCCTCACCAAATGACTGGCTCCATCAGCTCAGCCCTATCCAACCAAACGGATAACTTGGATTGACGTTCTTGCGTCGACGTGGCGTTCAAACTAAAAAATGAAATTCCATACGCTACATGCAGGTCAGAGGCTGTAAATTTTCGATGCATCTTCTCAACGTTTTCATCACCATTCGAAGTATTCTTACGACATCGGCTAAGTTTTCTTCACGTTATTTTAAATGTCATGGGAGAGCCAAGTTTGGCCAAAAAATTTGCCAAATTTGGGAAATCAGGGCTCAAATTTGACCAAAATTCGAACTGGCATGGTACGTTAAGTTATTCGGCAAGACTCCTCCATCTGAGGGGTCTTGGTTGGGTTCTCTACTGACTGGAGCTGGTATGTGCTACGTACCATCATACAGGCCTGCGGATTTTGCATTCGGAGGAGCGCCAGCTCCAACATTTCGACCATCGTAAGCTCAAGACGATCGCGCTCGCGGTCCGCTTGTTCTCCTGCCTGCGGGGTAGGAAACGTATCGGATGAGACTCTTTACCAGAGTCAAATAACACCGGCCTCAGAGTCAACTGGTGCGTGACGATGAGGGGAGCGTCATGGAAAGGAGTCATACAACGTTGGTCGGCAACCGAAGTCCTGCAACACCAGCAAGGCTACTGCAGCTGTGAAACACGACATTTTTACTAATCTTTGGAAACAAATATGCAACTGAAGCCTGACAAAGTCATCAACATTATGCGGAACAACGACAAATAAGGGCAGGCAAGGTGGCAAACACACCTAGACAATGCCGGACAGATTTAAGGGATATAAGCATACAACGCTCGCAGTGCCATCTGGGTCACAGCAAGTCAGTTACAAATCCTGCATAAAACGAACCATCACAGGTTGCGAACACATGACGAAGATACTTACGCTTGCCATAATTTTGGCCGAGAAGCCAATGCTGCGGAAAGGTTGTGTTGTGAGTCAGAGAAGCTGCTGAAATCCAACACTGAACTGCGTCAAATCCTGACACTGTGTTGGACACTGATGGCCAAAGTTCATAACACCTCCACTCAGCCGGTCACACTAAAGCCACAGCTATGAGCTATGAGCTAGAGCTAGCGCTATGCGTATGGCGGACATGAAATAGACCCACAACTCTTAACGGGAGTCGCGCCACACTGGCTGCAGACTGGCTCATGGTGCAGTGCAACCTGGCCGGCTTCCTGTGTTGTCATGGTGACGGGCGGTTGCGCGGTCCAGCAACTATCGATTAATGCGGCTGTGACGCAGCGAGCGGTGTACAGCGCGCTCAATGTGCCATCAGCTGGTGCACCGTGCACAAATGAAAATGATTAATTTCCGTGAACCACAGACGGGGTCGATCGCGCTCGCGACGCGGCCCCCTCGGGACGGCGCTCAGAGCATACGTGTCAGGCATCGCATGGCTCGCTCAAGGAGCGGCGCAATCACCTAGCCGTCCTGGCACAACCGACTCGTTCGAAAAACTTACCTTAAACCGAACTTTAAGTAATATCGTGAAGTGAATAAAACTGCACTGCATGAAAAGAAGGCACATAGTCGAAAGTCCCCACCGAAGGCTAAGTGCTAAATGGCTTCAGCATTCACAGAATGTTACCAAATTGCTGCCAAATCTTCCAGTATCAAACGTCAACGTCGCAGCTCAGGAGTGGCATGGCCTCTTGTCCTTACCCTTGGTCACGTCTCTGTTGAGAAATTGGTCATAATTATTTTTCTGCAAGCGGCTTTCGGCGCTGCTTATAAAAGCACCGGTGACATGATCCTCAGCATCATACCACCGATCAGGAGAGGGAGTAAGCGACTTCTGCATAACCACCGCTTGACCGGCCGGCCGCTCATCATGGTGATGATGATGATGATGGTAATGCCAATGGTGATGGTGATGGGATGGTGATGGTAATGATGATGGTGATGACGATGGCGATCTTGATGGTGATGTTGATGGTGATGATGATGGTGATGGCCATGGCGATGGTGATGGTGGTGGTGGTGGTGGTGATGGCGATGGTGATGATGCTGGTGTCGACGGCTGTCTGCACCGCCTGCACTGCATCCGACTCCCATCACTATGCTGGCCGCCCATCTTGTTGGTAATGGTGATGGTGATGCTGATGCTGATGGTGTTGGTGTTGGTGTCGGTGACAGATTGCGCCGGCGCGGCGGCGAACGAGTCGGAGCTGTCGATGGAGATGGTATTGACCGTGTCGGCCGCGGCGTCTCCTCCGCTGGTGATGCGGTTAACGTCGAGCCCGAGCAGCGCAGCCAGCGTTGAGAGACCTGTCGGAGATAGCGCTACTGTCAGGGGACACAGACAATCATCACGAGACGCAGACAACTGTCAAGAGACGCAGACAACGGTCACGAAACTCAGGCAACCGTCAGGAGGTTCAGACAACCGTTATGGACTGCACGCAGCCACCAGAAAAAAAAAACAAGAGACGCAGACTGCCATTCGCAAGAAAATCTAACCGTAATGCCGATATGGTCATGACGTCATGTGTCGTTCTGACGCAGTAGGAGAGCACCATAAGTGTCAAAAGTCTCAGGGCTATCTATATCATATACTATGTCAAAAACTATCAGGATACACAGAGTGAGGCGTCGATATCTGGTAGGAGACATGAACTGAAGAAACACTTGGCCAACGAAATGAACAGACAGGAGGCAGCAACAAACGCCGGGAGGAATCAACGGTGCTGAGGAGCCTTAGACGACGCAGAAACGAAAATAGAGAATTCATTCCAGACACGGACAGGGAAGACGCCTGACAACTTCAGAAAACCCTTGAAGCGCTGTTAGGGCATGTTTTCTGTACGGCGGTAGGTATGGATACAACCGACTCTAAATGAAGACGTATAAACCGGGGACAATGGTTTCTGAAAATACAGTTGCGACATGTTACTCATTATCTTAGCCCCTACAGGCACGCCCAATACCTCACACCAAGAATTTACCATTAGTCTGATTTTGCTCGCAGCGGAAAGGAGTACCCAAAGATCTGAGAACTCACCTTTAACTGGAGAAAAACTAGTCAAGACAGTAGCGTTAGCCTTATTCCGCCGAGAAAAACCAGGAGAATGGAGAGATAGTTGGGTTTATATTTCGGCAACATGCCTTTATCGAAACAGTAGCAGAAGTGAATTTTTATTTAATTGAATATAATTGTATAATAATTGCTCACTTCTGCTACTGTTTCGATAAAGGCATGTTACCAAAATATGAACCCTACTATATGTCCATTCGTCTGGTTTTTCTCCAGGGAATGAGGCTAATACTACCGTCTTATCTCTGTAAATGATGTTGTTCGCTAATGCACTGAACAACTTACGAAAAACTAGCCAAACTAAGCCAAAAAAAAATCGTCATCAGTCGCCTAGGTGCAACACAGCTTTCATCGGTACATGGATGGAAGGCCCTCCACCTCAGTCCATTGTGTCGTCATCACGCACATCCTGACCCGATGTGCGTGACGCACAGTTATTGGGGCCACCGTTACATGCGCTAACGGTCCACATACCAGGCTGCGCCAGATCTGTCGGCGTTTCGACTATTTACGGGCACAGAAGCGCACGTGTTTGCTATGACGTTGACGCTGATCTCGCTTAGCCTGAGCGGCTGGCCAGTGCGTGGGACGTTGTTATTCGGGGCGGGATTGGTCACTACAGGGCCCAGTTTGTCGTAATGTCTGGCCTTTGCGTTGCCGCGGGGACATTGTTTAGGATTGGGGATGGGGGGGGGGGGGGCGCTGGAAGGCGTCTTGAGACGATTCTTTCATGTGTCTTGAGTCGATTCTTTCATGTGTCTTGAGTCGATTCTTTCATGTGTCTTGAGTCGGTTCTTTCATGTGTCTTGAGTCGATTCTCTCATGTATCTTGGGTCGATTCTTTCCACGCACAGATGTGGCCCAATGCTGAATTTTCCGAAGTGTTGAAGACGCATTCCCAAGCCCATCCCTAAATACGCACGGTCCTCTCCGAGACATTTCTCACTTTGTGTGCGAGCTTGCATGTGATCACGCCGGACTGATTTGACACGCATAGGGTTTCAAAAAACTGCTTGGCGAAGGCCTAAGCAGTATTCATCCTGATTCTGTCCTTTTCCTTGAAAATAGCATTGTTCTGAATGGTGCGAGTTGCACAACTCATGAGTCGCTCGGCACGAATATGAGCTGCGCTTTAACTCTGCACCGCCTGGAAAAGTCGCCACCGACGACCGCCTGGGGGGGGGGGGGGGGGAGGGGTTATAATATCTGGGAGTGTCAGGCAAGTACAATGGGTGTCCCGTCACACGTTGGGTGTACGATGGGTGTCCCGTCACACGCTGGATCCCTCGACAGCGCGGTCGATTCACCCAGGAATGCAAAATAACGCTCGCTGGATCCCTCGAAAGCGCGGTCGATCCACCCAGGAATCAGTGCACCACATCTGCAGGAAGCCACAGCTTGCGCAAAATACACGCTGGATCCCTCGACAGCGCGATCGATCCACCCAGGAATCAGTGCACCACATCTGCAGGAAGCCACAGCTTGCGCAAAATACACGCTGGATCCCTCGACAGCGCGGTCGATCCACCCAGGAATCAGCGCACCACATCTGCAGGAAGCCACAGCTTGCGCAAAATGTCTGAAACCACCCAAAATCTCTGAAGTCACCTAAAATCTAAGTACGATTTCAGGCCTTTATCACTAACACCGTGATTATGGTGGCATACCCTTGTAAGCGGCACGGAAGGAATGAAACCCGTGCTCTTGCAATTCAGAATCACACCGGAGTCGAATGTCAAGGTCAAATTTCAAGATAAAGCCAGATGAAGACCGTGTCAGGTACAGGGAGTGTTGTGTCATCAAGTACGATTTTCCTGCGCTTCCCACACACATCACAAGTTCGAAAACGCTCGCTTGCCCGCTATCATTTGCACCGACGTATTTTTACAAATGGGTAGAGCATATCAGCCTGCTTTGACATCATAAGCTTGCATATGGTTTTATAAATTCATAAACTTGCCTATCATGACCTGCAGAAGCGACCTGGTGAATGCTCTACTAAAAAGTGAATTCAAAAAGTAACCCTGATTGGAAAAAGGAAATGACTAACCATGACTTAAACATGACTTAACAAGTCCATGAATCATATTAAAACAACAAAAAAGCAACAAAGCAATTGAGAGTTGCTGCACATAAAGACAAAATTCGACTGGCAGGCCTGTACTGATAGCCATAGCTCAGGAACTGACGTCACGCCAAAAAGTGTTCAACCAACATTTTCCATATACATATATATATATATATATATATATATATATATATATATATATATATATATATACTATAGCCATCTAGATGCGAGGAATTCCGAGAAGGCGAATCTAGTCAATGTGTACGAAAACTATTCCCAACCGTTGTGGGAATCCATGAGATTCAATTTAATTTGAGTGAACCAAATTATCGTTCATTCTAAGTGAAGCACATCTAATTTCCAGGCTGGAGGGAGTCGTTATTCAGTTGAGTTGCTTGATTGAAGTCAAGGGTGTCTCGACTCAAACGTGAATACACGTTACGGCTGACATTAGTATTCTGGCAGTCTACATGTGCTTTAAGTGGAGAACTGAATGCCCGTATGCATGTCTGTCATTGTAATGAACTCCACATTCACCGCAAATAGCGTATCACCTTCCAACTTGTTGTCAGCAAAATTAATGTTCTTGAAAATGATCATCATGCCAAATGGCATCGAGGGCGTCTGAACCACTTTCCGGATCGAAGTCCTCTCACTGGGGTTGAGGATGGAGCCGACCCAAAGCTGTGATATACTGCTTTTGGATCGGAACCAAACTGCGTTGAAACATAATCAGCACTGCGGACGGTGGGTGGGAGTCGGAACAGCTTCCGTGGAAATGAAATCAAGCACAGGGCTGACAATAGCCAATGCAGGGAGAAATAAGTGGCCGTAACCGTGCCCCAGCCAATCATCAGGGGGGGGGGGGGGGGGCAGCCCAAACCCAACGCGGTCTGTGTCGTTTCACTGCTAACTAATCGCGATCGTTACATCCGTGGGCATCCATGAGAGTCGCACTGCATCGCATCACATCCGTCGAATCGCATCGTCGCATCGTATCGCATCGCATAGTGCATGGCATGGCGAGCGTGGCATGAGCCTCGCCAGCGCTTGTTGGGGTTACCATATTTTCATTATTTTGACTGTTATCCATTGCACCGTTGAACGAAGCCACTGCTTGTGCGGGGGCTTCACCTCACCAAGTTCTCCCAGCATTTCCAATTCAAGACTGTAACGCAAGATATGTTTTGTGAAGCGTTAACTCCACGGTCGTGTTTTAAGCGCAATGTGCCGCCCATCGCTGTGACCAGGGCAGGGTTGTTAGTGTTGCAAAAAGATAATCAAAGTGACAATTTTCTCAGATCATTTGGCAAGTGTTATGTTTCCATTAGGTGATTGCTATTCCGTTTCCCAAAGCCGGCAATTCTTAAGCTATGAAAGGAAAGACAGTAGTAATAGCCTTATTCCTGAGAGAAAAATCAGGACAATGGACATATCAACGCACGTTGACCCCATTCTGCTGGTTTTTCTCCTAGGAATAAAGCTATTACTACTGTCTTATCTAAGTGAATAATGTTCCACGCAAATGTAATTAACAATGTGTGCAGGAAGTTAATCGATTATTACTGACAGTTACCAACAAACGATTGCGATATTATTCAATGCTGACGGCATAAAGCTTATGGCTGCACGGTTTTCACTTCTTGATTCTCACGATTTTGATTTTGATTTCATTTCAGTGACTGCGTCGCTGGCTTTATCCTCAGAGAGCATGGCTGAGAAGCAGTGGCTGCCTGCGCCTTGAGCCCCCGGTCCAGCAGTGCAGATGTCAGCTCAGAGTATGACCGGTTCCGATCTTTAGGCCAGAGCCAACCTTGGAGTGACCTTTCCATGCCACACTGTGCTACGGCATGGCTGCTACATGCCAGGATGGCCCAGAATGACCTTGATGACCTTGTTTGGCATGGTGCCAGCTGACTGCCCTTCAACGGTTGGGCCAATCAAGTTCGCTTTGCCCAAGGTTGAGCCAGACACAACGGACCGAAGTCGTCGATCTTCTACCCTTCAACGCGTGGTCGGCAATCTAGCGCTGAAGCGGACTCTACCGCACATGTTTATATTGCTCGAGTGCCGACAGACAGTTGAATCCTGGTCATGTTCGTGTGGTCTGCGATGCGTCCCTAAATACAACAGACGAATTTGCCGATAATGTGAAGGAAAACGGAACTTTGCGGTCTCCTCTCAACTTGACAGCCCAAACTGACGTTTTCTAAGCTAGCTTGGCGATGTGAACGATTTGAAACTTGGTAACACAGGGTGCACTATTTGTAAAGCCTTCAAGAACGCCAGGGGAATTCACGTGCGTAGGCACTCGTCTTTTTGTTCCACTGCCAACGCACCATTACTACCTCCCCAAACACGGCAACCTGGATCCGCCTCTGCCACTGTACGCGAAGCGGCCGTTTCTCGTGGCATTTGTGGTGCCACTCGTCTATCACTTCCCCAAACAGCGGTGCCTGCTCCCCCCTCCCCTTCCCCTCCCTCTGCCATCGCCCTCCAAGCGGCCGTTCTCCAACTCTAAGGGGCATCCTTCGCCGTCTCCTCAACTGCAACCACCTTTGCGCGCCTCTGCCGCCGCCCCTCCAGCGGCTACACCTCACCCCGCATCACTCGTCCGCCGTCTCCCCAAGCCCGCCTGCCTGGATCCGCCGCTGTCGCCGGCCGGCCGGCTGCCGGCTCCGTCTCGGCGAAGCGGCGTTAGTCCGTTCAGAAGTGCACGGGGAGGTGGAGGTGCGGTGTTCAGAACCGCACGCGCATTTGGAGATACGGCGCTCGTTGCCGGGCAACGCAGCGTCGTCTGAGAAGCCGTCAGCTGATCGGCGAGACGAGTGACCGCGCAGTGACCTTGAAGGAGCGAGGCAGGCGCGCGTCAGCTGGCGCCGGCCCGGGAGCGCCGCGGTGGTGGCGCTGGCGTGATCGCGAGAGCGGGAGAGAGCGGGGAAAGGCGTCGAGGTGTGATGCGAGCGCCTGCCACGAGCTTGCAGCGGGGTCAGATGATCTCGTCCCACACGTGTGGCACGGGTGTGCGGCGCTAGATTGGTGCGCGTTTGCGGCGGCGAACAACTGCGCACTCAGCCGAGGCGCGGAGACGAGAATCGCGTAGTGATAGATAGGCCCGGTTCAGCTGATACTGAGCCGGCGAGGAGATCTGACCACTCGTCTCTCAGCGTCTGAGCCTGGCACCGATCACGTTTCTCCTACGTTCAGCCTCTTTTCTCATTATGCGGGCAATGCGCGGTCTCCACCCCCGCTCATCCTGGGCGGCGCTGACTCTCGGCCCTGTCCGAACGCTCGCCCCGCGGTCCGCAGCCTCCCACCCGTCGCTTGTGAGCGCCCGCGGCCGCTCCACCGCCTCCGCCGACACCGACAACGCCCCCACCGCCGCCTCCACCGCCTCCAATGCCGCCGCCGCCGCCGCCGCCCGTCCGTTTTCGGAGATCCCCGGCCCTCCCAACCTGCCCCTCCTCGGCTGCTTGCACCACATGCTGCCCGGCGGCCGATACTTCAACATTCCGCCGCTGCGGCAGCTGCAGTTGCAGCGGCAGGAGTTCGGCCCCCTCTGGCGACTGCAGCTGCCGCTGAAGCGGCCCATGGTGTTCCTGACCGCCACGGAGGACGCCAGGGCTGTGTTCCAGGCCGAGGGGCGCTTCCCGTCGCGTGACGACTTCGAGGCGTTCGCGCACTATCGTCAGTCCAGGGGCTTGGGTGAGTGTGTTGAGTGTCGGGATGAGTGCCTTGGGTGCGCTGCCGGCATTCCAGAAGCTCAGGCGAATGCCGTGTCAGGATGAGCGCTCTCTTTGAGAGCACCACTGGAAGTCCACGGATTTAGATCAGTAATCTGGTGATCTTGTAGTAATCTGGCAGCATTCTAGTAGCAGATCTGCAGTAATCTAGCAGATCGACTGATATGATAGCAATCTATAAAGTTCGCAGTAACCTTGGTGAATCTAGATGAGACTTAGGTATGTGTCGTAGTCGCGTTGTCGGCGGCCTGGGTGTGTTCCGTGGAGTGTCAGGGTGAGTGAATTGGCCATTAGAATGAGTTTTAGCCGAGATGCTCGTCGGTCAGAATGGATGTTGGGAAGCTGAGACATCGGGCTAACGTTATTCGTTAACAGTGTTTGTCAGGGTGAGTGTCAGTCATGCTTCGTGCTAGCATGAGTGTCAGTCATGTTTCGTGCTAGCATGAGTGCCAGTCATGATGTTGGAGAGTGAGGATGACTACCTGGGTTGGGGGCTGATCGCTCGTGGGACACTACAGGTAACCGACGACGAGGTAAAACCAGCAGAGCTTTGAAATGCCTAAGGGGTGCCGCAGACAGTCGAGGGTTTTCTTCGGTGTTACGAAAATTAGGTTTAGGTCATGTTTCGGTCATAACCCATGCTTATATTTTCGGTCATAGGTCATGTTTCGGCTTAAGTAGATAGCCAAGGAGTCTGGGTGGGTGAAGGACCAAGCACGCGTTGCTACCGTCAGGATGTGGGCGCTCCCGAGTTCAGATTGTACGAAAGGGCACATCCCACAAACACTTCGCTGTGAATGTTGTTACCGTCATGTCAATCCCTCATTTGAATCTTCATGGTGAGTGATAATCCCGTGCATTCCTCCAATACGTGATTTGAAAAGAATGTACGAACAGATGTGGGATGAAATTTCTGCAAATTCCAGTTCTATTTTTTTCGCGTAGCTGAGCACTGCCGTAACTTACCGCGACTCCGTAAGGTTCCGGTAGAATTCTTCTGCTAGTAGTATTCTAACCCCTGGGTCCATCTGCGAGAAAGCGCTTCCCACTAAGATTGCAGCTTCCAAACACCCTTGACCTCGTCCCCACTCAGGTAACTTGAGTTGGCCTCAAGAGCGGTTTCGCAGCGCCTTCAAAGCGCCCGAGCTGTGCTGAGTGGACCCAATCTCACTTCGACCCGTCACGTATTGTTTTCCTGCCATCGGAGATGGCTGGTGGTCAAGGTCGAGTGGTCACATGCCGATAGGATTCCGGTACAAGCAAACAGATACCGTATCATTGCCACCACGGCCCGACTGCGCTACCGGATGAAGGGTGAGCTTGTCAGGTGTGTTGGGGGCGAACATGGTCTGTTTGCTCCCGCCGTCCAATCTGTTCCTGCGGTTTTCGTGTGCCCCTCCCCCCCCCCCCCCGGCATGTCACTCCCAGTAGTCCCTGTCTACCCCTAATGTCCTAATGTACAAACGACGTTTCTAACGTCGTTTTCTGGCCCCGATGTTTCTGCCTGCCGCTTAACGCCTCTATCTACCCTTAGCGTCTGTTTGTCGTATATTTCTCTGCCTGCTCCTATCGTCTGTCTGGCATTTATTTTCATGTCTGCCCTTACGTCCCTGTCTATTCCTGGTGTCTCAACCTACCCTTAATGTCCCAAAACATCCCTGTCGTCCTCTGACACTCCTGTCTGCCCCGTCATTATTGTCATTGGGTCTTCTGCGACTCCCTCAGCTGCGGAGGCTATACGGCGCCGCCTGCTACAGAGCTGAGCGTGGATATCGCACCGATCTCGGTTTTCAGTCAGCAGTCAACCACGATGATGGCTTCGTTCATCTTACTCGCTCCATCTTTCAGCCCTCCATCCTGGATATCTGCTCCTATTAGCCTTCTCTTCCAGCTCTACGCATCTCATCCACCTCCTCCACGATAGCTTCTCTCTCTCTCTCCTCTCTCTATCTTCTCTCTCTATCCTCTCTCTCTCTCTCTCTCTCTCTCTCTCTCTCTCTCCCTCTCTCTCTCTCTCTCTCTCTTCTCCTCTCTCTCTCTCCTCTCTCTCTCCCTCTCCTCCTCCCTCCCTCCCTCCCTCTCTCCGCCTGTCCTCACCTCCGTATGTGTCGGCAGGCGCGGGCATCGCGCCCTCCAGCGGCCACCAGTGGAAGCAATACCGCGAACTCGGCCAGCAGGTGCTCGGCGGTCCTCAGTCAGCCATCAAGTACCTCGCCGACAATGTCGAGGCCGCCGCCATGTTCATCGCGCACCTCCGCGACGTTCGTGGCGCGGACGACACCGTCGCCAACTTTCAGGAACTCGCCAAGCTCTGGTCCTTCGAGAGCATGAACATGATGGCTCTAGGAGCGCCGGTCGGCATCTACGACAACGACGCCGGGGCGAGGCGACTGTTCGACGCCACGACGGTGCTCTTCGAGTGCTTCACGGAGTTAAGCAACACGCTACCGGTGTGGCGCCTGGTGCGCACGCCGTTGTACAAGCGCATGGCGCGCGCCACAGACACCGTCTGGGACACGTGCAGCGGCTACGTGCGGCAGGCGCTAGCGGCGCCGGTTGCCGGCTCCATGGTGGCGCAAGTGGCGCCGCAGGTCGACTCCGAACAGCAGCTCAACATGGTGGTCGACGTGCTCACCGACCTGCTGCTCTCCTCCATCGACACGACGTCGACGACGCTGACGTACCTGCTGCACTGCCTGGCGGCGAACCCGACGAGCCAGCGGCGCGCGCGCGAGGAGGTCCTGCGCCTCCTCCCGGAGCGAAGTGATGCGCTCACTCCGCAAGTGATCAACCAGATGCACTACCTCAAGGCGTGCCTCAAGGAAGCGTTGCGGGTGCGCCACGTTGCGGTCGGGACGGGCCGTGTGCTGGACCGGGACGCGGTGCTCTCGGGCTATCACGTGCCGGCCGGGGTCACGTGCGTCGGTGCTCAGCAACGCCATGTCCCTCGACCCGGAGAACTTCCCAGAGCCGGAGTCGTTCTTGCCGGAGCGGTGGGTGAGGAGCTCTCCGCTCTATGCCAAGTAAGCGGCGCACAGGTGGCGGCGGGACCCCCGGTTGATCATGAGCCCGGCTCATGATCACCCCCGGTTGATCACGAGCCCGGCTCATGATCACCCCCGGTTATCATGAGCCCGGCTCATAATCACCCCCGATTGATCACGAGCCCGGCTCATAATCACCCCCCCCCCCCCGTTTGATCATGAGCCCGGCTCATGATCACCCCCGGTTGATCACGAGCCCGGCTCATGATCACCCCCCGTTGATCACGAGCCCGGATTGCAGGCCGAGTTTGGATGATCAACGCTTACAGCTGTCGGTGTAGGCACGGATGAATTCCATCCCAGCCAATCAACGTGTTCACGTGTCGTTATAGGAACCGACGTGGCAATGTTGTGAACGTAGATATCGACGCTTCGGTAATACGTGTGGATGTTTTTTGGTGCTTCTGTGGTGAAACATCCACACGTTTAGATTCAAGTATGCTTAGATGATATACACACACACACACACACACATACACACACATATGTATATATATATATATATATATACATTATATATATATATATATATATATATATATATATATGAATAAGCGAACTCTCTCCAGCCCTAAACAGACAACAAATTCTTGTACAACCCTTGGACTATGAGGTGATGAGCGGTGAGGACTATTTATGTTGTTGTGGCAATGTGCTGGTGTCTTTGTAGTGTCTCCATTATGAGTGTATTCGATATAGATCAAAGTGAAAAGAGGATTCTGTCTGAACTCAACTAACCATGCTTAATTTGTGTTCTCCGTACCAAAAGATGTATATATATGTGGCTTTGGTTCTGTTTTCATGTCCTAACTCTGACTCTGACTCTGGGCAGGGCGCCGCAGTACGCGTACGTGCCGTTCGGACACGGGCCGCGGATGTGCATCGGACGTCGCTTCGCCGAGCTGGAGACCTGGGTCCTGGCTGCCGAGATCCTGCGGAACTTCGAGGTCGAGAACCTGACGCCCGAGTTCAGCCAGGTGATGAAGCTGATCAACGTGCCGGACCGGCCCATTGACTTCAAGCTGATCGATCTGTAGCCAGAGGCGCGCCCAGGGGTAGCAGATGGGAAGGAGTCCAGCAGCAGAGGCGGTCTCAGGGACGGGGAAGAGGCGGCGAGGTACCGCGCTTTTGGAGTGGAGGCTCACGGAAGAGAAGTGAGACTACTGTGACTTCGCGATGTCGCTTTGATGGCTCGGGGACAATTTGATGGCAGCAGTGACGTCGGGGTATGATGACGTACACGCTCTGGATCATCAGCGAGCTGTGTCCGGATTACCGAATGCCTTGTTTCCAGCGTGAGGTAGCAATCCAACTAACAGCGCGCATGCGCATAACTCGATATAAAGCATTTCCGCCGCGTGCATAATGACCTGCGATTGCAGTGATGTCAAAACATCAAGACCAACAAATTATTTCTTGATAGGTACGCGCATGTCTATTTGCATGTCTGTACAATTTCTATGCATATGTTTTAATCAAACGGTCTTAAAAAGGTCGGCTGCATTAACTAAACCACGGCAGAACATGGCCATTCATTCCATCGATTCCAGTAATCTCTATGGAAGCGGCAGAATGCGAATGTAAATACATATTCTTACTCTGGCTGGTGGGAATGGCAACGCCATCGCCCCATCTCATCAGACATCCGAATAAAGTTATAGTTGTGCCTGCATCGTCCACTGTGGTGCCGGCCAATGTGTGCTCAATGCGCTGCTGAAATGTGTGGTGGTCGTGTTTAGGTCCAGTTGGTGTTGCTTCAAATAGTGTGTGGATGTTCCCACCTCAGCGCTGGCATGCTGATTTTGTGAGCAGGCGTCCTAGCTGTTTCAGTCGGTCCTCGTTATGCTACGTTTTATTCGTCCACTCACCTGATTGAATATGAACAACACACTGTCAGCTTGTGCCGGGAATGCCGTTGGTCGCATTTACCACATGGCCTCCGTGTAACTGGATAAAGGTGGTCATCATGTGGTACGGAGGCGAACGGCTCTGATGGAGAAAGATAATCAGGCAGTACGAACTTTCGCCAAATGAGATTGCTGTTGTTTAAATTGCGCCTGGGCGGGGTCTGGGACAGCCGCGCCCGACCGGGGGTCGGAGACAACGGCACCTGGCCGAGAAGGAAGTCGACTGCTCCTGAGATCTCCAAGTTCCAAACGACAGCCTGGGCGGGGTCTGGGACAGCCGCGCCCGGCCGGGGGTCGGAGACAACGGCGCCTGGCCGAGAAGGAAGTCGACTGCCCCTGAGATCTTCAAGTTCCAGACGTCATACAGCAAAACGAAAGTACCGTCGTGGATGTCTCGTGAAATCATGAAGAATGTACACCAAATATTTGACAGGTCAAATGTGAGGTCACTAGAGGTCATGAAAGGAAAAAGCGGTCGTTCTGGTACGTGCAGTTGAAACATATGTTACTACGTCAAGAGGGACATTGAGGGCACATAAGTAAGCGTGGGACTGTGGCGAGTCCATTCCATTTTTTTTGTACCCCGCAAGGTTCAAGCTGAATTCAGGTCACCGTTCCAAATTGAGCAACCAGTAACTTACAAGAATGATATTTTTACACTGTACTTCTGGCTACGTTAATTTTATTGCGTGAAGGTCAGGGACAAATCCCTTCTATATGGAAGGGGCATTCCAGAAAAAAAAACACTGAAGGGTGGTCTAGAGGACAGCTGAGGTCATTGTTGGTCAAACCAATAAACCATCCAATGATAACATTATAAGTGCTTACCGGAGCTAAGTATGCAATGCAATGCCTCTCTGTGATCAGAAATAGTGTATTGTTTATCTACAGATACTTAAGACCACTTAGGTCCTGTAAACATTACACATGGTGCCTTCGGCACTTCGTAATGTTTGTGTAACAACCTGAGAACAAGCATGTTGATATAAAAAGTCATACGTCAACTTCACAAACACGATACAGAGGTGGTTACACGCGTTTCACTCCTTCATCTAGCCTTTCCGCTAATGGCAACAGAGATCAGCGACCATCTAAGATCTCATATGATCTTGCATGTGTTCACGTGGCCTAGTGTGACCTTAGTACTGATTGTAATTATATTACAACCTGTTTTTGTGGAATTTCTGATTATTGTGCCAAAATTACTTCATTGCACAGCCTATTTTGAGCTCGGCATGTGTTTTGTATAAGGCACCCACAGAGATAGATCATGACCTAGGGTAATGTCATGTGCTCTGTGGTTCTATGGTGGTTGCTCACGTGAATTGGTACTCTTTTCCCCGGGTACAAACATTAAAAGTGCGTAAAACACATGCAATTTGCATTATTAACGAAAAATTGCAAATTTTGCCCCCTTGGTCATTAACCTAGCTTGTTCAAAAAATACGCAAAAACTGCAGGTATTGTCATGTCCCAAACCTATGGCAAATTTGGGTAATGGCAAATGAGGCACAAGGCGTCATGCACGATCAAAATTTTTAGAAGCTGACCTCTTTGATGTCATCTAGGTCACTAATCTTCGCAGATCAAAATACAAATTTTCACAAATGATGCGACATAAATTGGTGATCAGTTACCAAAACCTCATTGTTGCCGCAGCCATTGATTTTTTAGCTGCGCTCGAAACCCGTAGGGGAAAGTAGACTTTCCCTCCCCCAGCCATGCACGGGTTCATGAGACACATCGAACAATGCACGCTCACCGAACAGAATGCATACATGCGTGAGACAAAGCGTATTTACGTGTAATAAGTTAGTTGCTTATAAACTTGATGGTGTGCTTATCATTTTGAAAAAAGATGCAGCTCATTTCATCACACACCCTTTCATGGTACGCCAGCGAGCTGCAGTGTACATGTCAATACGCGATCAGGTGGCCGGCTGGATACCCTTGGCTAGGGTAGGGTGTCAATCTGACCCCGCTGAGATCTCGGGAACTAAGAAAGATTAGGCACCAAATTGAATGGGTGTATTGACCTTTGTGTGAACTTACTTAGCTCACAGTTGTAGGTTCCTAGCTCATGACCTTCGGGTCAAATAAGGCCAAACAAGGTCTAATTCCAGGTGGGTCTCAAAGTGCTCCCAGAACCTAGACAACTGTCTGGAATCAAAAGGTCACGTGCTCATTTCAGTTCGAAGGGTCAATTTGATCGCCACCCGAGCGCGTGTTAACGTTCATGTGCCATAGCTCAACAGCGATTCGAACCCAAGCCCTCCACATGGGAGCGGAGGAGCGCTGAATATAACTGCAATACACTCAGTCGTGTATTGCAGTTACATACTATCTATAGTTATATGATGTTATGATGCATAGCTCTAGTTTGATAGCTTAATAAGTTAATGGCTTACAACTTACGAAGTTTCCATGCTTTCCTACTCAAGTGATAATTCGATGCTGTAATTTATACATAAGTTTAGTTTTCATAGTTGAATATGACCTTAATATATGATATCAGCTTACCGTTGCTGCGGTTGTCGTAAGACGTGAGCACGCGTGTTACCGACGGCTTCATAAACAATTAATCGTCGTGGTTAAACTCGAGGATAAAGGAACAATAGGATTATCTGATGGACTGAACGATACTGAAACAATAGTTCCTGGCTCTGGCTGATTTCACGCTGTCCAATCCACTCCCTATAAACCCTGTGTCATTTGCTTGTCGTGTTCGCAGATGTTTTTGTTTTCCAGTTTGTTTTGCTTCCGAGCTGATTTTCCACAGCTGTTTGTTTCCAAGCCGTTGCTTTCTTTTCTCAAATTGTCTCAACACACCTCACGTCTCGAGGGCTGACAACCCGCCAGATGACCTCAGTGTGAAGAGATCCCGCAGCTGCTTGCCTGCCAGGGCTCCCAGTGACGTCACAGCAGTGACGGTGCCGTCCGTGCCACAGTCACAGAACCTCTGCAGGGTTTCACCGCGTTCCGCCCTGGCTTCCGCTTCTCCTCTGTGCTTCTCCGGCGGTATCGACCCGCCTGGAGCCCCCCGACGGGGCCCCTGTCTGATGTGCACCATCTGAAAGCGGTAGACGACGTTGACCGTGACGATGACCGGAGGACGGCGTTCAGTGAGCGGCCGGCGCCAGAGGCTTTTCTCTCACACTTCGTAGCGAGCTACTTAATTACTGGGTTGGAATGACGAGCTAACCGCAATGCTCATCAGCTCATCAAAATGCTGACGGCTCATCAAAATGCTGAACCGATTTACGAATCAGGTGTGACTATCCTTCTACTTTGACCGCCGCGAAGACAGGCCATACATGAGCCACACACACAGCCACGCGAACGCCGTCGGAAAACGTGTGGTTGCCGTCGTTGAGCCAGGCAGCCGCTACGTGACTCCCTTCACGTCCGAGTCCGGCCTCGCCCTGCATTTGCTCAACGAGCTATGCTCCGTGAGCCTGCCGCGCGACGGTCACGCCAATGGAGCCGGCTGCTATGGCACGACCGCCAACACCGGGACGACGGGCGACGTGTTCCGGCGGTTTGAGATGGCTACCGAGTCGCCCGTACTCTGATTTATCTGCCAGCTGCACGGCAATGAGCTGAATCTCCATCATCTGCTGCTGAGCCTGGACGGCACGACCACGGGACCGAAATTTTTCTGGGCTCATCGGCGCCGGAGAGGTCTTGGCGAGGGGCTTTGTGTCATTCGAGCCTATGCCGGGTATGTGCCAAACCTGCCAGTCAACCTGATCCAGCAGCTGAGCACCGACTAGCAGCTGCTGTACCTGCTGACCTCTGGCGTTCAGAGCAACTCAACGCATAATCTTCAAGTTTAAAACGACAACGCATAATCTTCAAGTTTATAGTAATAAATGACTCAACTTTATTCGTATTATTTGGTGTCTCATGTGCTCACTGTTGAGCATTTACTTATATCTTGTACAATGGCGTATCGTATCATTTGCTCACCGGTTCATGCTTAAAAGTAAATTTGCTAGCATGTATTCCGCTACATTCGGGAAACGTGATCACCATTTGTATGGAGTTTTGAACTGAAATAGCCATCTTGAAGACCTTTTGGTGCTGTTCTCAATCTTACCCATCTTAAGATCGAAACTTCTCTAGTTTTTGAGCTATACGCCCGCGAAAACGGAGAAAGATATCAGGGAAAATATTTCAGATTCACCTTAGCACTCATGACGTCATAATAACGTCATTCAAAGCCAGCCATTACATGAGCCATGTAGCGATCAAGGCCAAGAAAAGTAAAATTTTCGAGGTGTTCATATCCAGCGTTCGTGAGCATGATTTCCAGATATAACGGCCGTCCATTGGCTCTCAAACAACGTTACACAAGGCACGATGGCGTACAAAACATGGCGCACTGAGGAGCATATTTACTAAACAGAGAAATGTGTTATCTAGAGCAGTCTTTTTCACTCAACAATAATTTTCGGGTGATCTAACACTCAGTTCGTAACGAATCGTTCTCATCTATTCGCTTTTGTTTTCAGATGGTTGACACTGGCTGCTCGCTTGCCTCTAGCTTACATCTCTACTGAGACCTCCAGCACCGCTCTCAGAGACCTCGTCCAGTGCGTGGCTTGTCACTATGTGCCGGCGTGGTTTGTCATCCGGTAGAACAGCGTCTGCGACTTTGGCTTACGCAACTCGTTTCGGAGCATCACGCTGCTCCATGAGCTGCCACAGCACACACAGACCACAGGTACAGCCGCTCCTCCAGCGCAACGGGCACTGGGTCTGTCCGAAACACCTTCTACTGACTTGGTGGCGGAAGAGAACCGTGTGATCTGCGAACAGGCGGTTCGAAGCATCGCGCCGCTCGTGAGCAGTGAACCAAGGGTTTCCTTCAGCCCATGGTCTTCGCCATCCCAACGATACACTTCGAGGCTGTGAGGTACACCGAACTGATTCCCAGGCGCGGACCACTCACACAGCCTCCACTGCAAGAACCCAGCGACGGCGAGCTGCGG